TTTTTTTTTTTTTTTTTTTTTTTTTTTTTTTTTGTGTGTGTGTGTGTGTGTGTGTGTGTGTGTGTGTGGTGTTGAAGATTGAATCCAGGGCCTCATATTCAGCTATATCTCCAAGCCTTATCTGTCTATCAATCGATCTATTTATTTATTGGTACCAGGTATTGAACTCAGGACCTTGCACTTGCACAGCAGGCTGTGGAATCACTGAGCTAAGTCCCTGGCCTGTTTGTATGTTTGTTTATTTATTTTTTTTTTTTTTGAGACAGGTCTCACTTTGTAGTTGAGACTGACCTGGAACTCACTATTTAGTCCAGGATAGTCTCGAACTCACAGCGATCCTCCTACCTCAAGTCTCCCAAGTGCTGGGATTGCAGGTGTGTGCCGCCATGCCTGGCTTGAGGGTTTTTATTTCTGTTTGATTATCTGCTCTCACTTTATTTTTTTAAATCTGCCTTCACTTTAAACTAGACATGTCTGACACAGAATTCTTCCTCTTGGATCAGTAATGTTCTTATATCATTGATGTAAACAACAAGCAAAACAGGAAGGAAGACTTCCCTTCTCTTTTTCTTAGGTCAAATTTCCTTTTCCCTGTTAATTTTGCCAGTGAGATTCAATAGGAACCCACCTGCCAAATGGAATTGTAGTTACAGTGTCCCAGCCCTACCATCATAATGCTGAAGAGTAAAGAAAACTGGGTTATTGCTGAAAGACAGTATGTTAATTGGCACTGGAATATATGTCTGTCTTATCTGTCTTTTTTCTTTCCATCTTATTTATTTGTAGTATTGGGAATTGAGCCAACTGAGCTAAATCCCAACTCCTTTTAATTTTTAAATTTAGTTTTAGACAATCTTAAGTCTCAAGGTTACCCAGGCTGTACTTGAACTAACAGTTCTCCTGCCTCTGCTTCCCAGTGTACTGGTATCATAAGTAGATGTCACTATACCTGTTCCTTCCCAACTTTTTTGCACCCAGTTAGAACACTTCTGTATTATCCCCTTCTGCATGTGTGTGGATTCCATGCTTCACTATATTCAGGTCCCACACATAGACCCTCTGCTCTCCATATGACTGTACAGCTCTACATTCTGTGCAGCAATACTTGAAGTTCCAGCTTCCTCACCTCTCCTGATTTGATATTTCTGACGTTCTCATGCATTTGATATCTTCTCATTTTTGTTTGGTGTTTTTTTGGTACCAGGGATCCAACTTGGGACCTTGTGCTTATGAGGCAAGTGGCGGAACCAATGAGCTAAATCCCTGGCCCCTGTTTTTCTCATTTTGACTGAATTTCTGTGGTTATTAATGAGGTGGAGCATTTCTTCACCTCTTTATTCATCATTCTTATTTCCCATTCGGTGATTTACCTATTCACATCCTTTGCCCATTTTTCTATTGGATTTTTTGTTTTTTCCCTTTGGTTGGTAGAATTTCCCACTAGTAATCGTGTAGATTTTAGATGCTGTCTCGGATATCCTTTATCTAGATGGTCACCTCTCTATTTGTGGTCCTTTGTCAAACAGAAATCCTTAACTTTGATATAGTCAGGTGTCAGGTGGTCAAGTCAGTCAGTTTTTCTTGTATGCTTGGTAGGTTTTGGATCTTTTTTTTTTTTTTTTTTTGGTACTGGAGATCTAATTTAGGACTTTATACTTGTGAGGCAGGCAGCAGCACCACTGAGCTAAATCCCAGGCACGGTTTTGGATATTTTTATACAAAATCTTTTTTTTACTATAGGTCGTAGAGATGTTCTTCTGTGTTTTCTTCAGTTAGCTATATAATTTTACCTCTTTTTTTTTTTTTTTTTTTTTTGTACCAGGGATCAGACTTAGGGTCTTGCGCTTATGAGGCAGGTATGGTGACAGTGAGCTAAATCCCTGGCCCTATAATTTTACTTCTTACTAAGGTGATTGAAGTTTATTTTTATTAAATGTAGAAAGATCCAACTTTGTGCTATTTAATGAACTGAATTTTCTAGCACTATCCATCAAATAATCCATCTGTTTCCTCTAATTAGATATTCCCCTAATGTAATACCTCTGTATTACATCTTACTCCCATATGTGATGGGTCTGTTGCTATTTTCTTTATTCATTGTCATTGATGTCTTTGTTAAGTAGTAGCCTATTGCTTTGATGGTTACAGTTTTATAATGTAAATACCTGATAAATGAATGTCTTGCTTTATCTTTTATAAGATATGCATTTTTTTTTCCAGGTACAGGGAATCGAACTCAGGACTTTGTGCTTGCAAGGCAGGCACGGTGTCACTGAGCTAAATCCCCAGCCCCTGAGATTTGTATTTTAAAAATCATTTTAGAATTAGTTTTTCCCACACCTAAATTCTGCTAGGTTTTTATTAGAGTTTTATTGAATTTACATATTAATATAAGAATTAATAATTTTATTGTATTGTATTTACCTAAATGCAGTAATATATCCATCTAAATGAAAACTTAGGTTTTTTTTGTATCAGGAATTGAACTCGGGACCTTGCTCTTACAAGGTAGGTGGCAGAACCACTGAGCTAAATCCCTGGCCCTGTTTTTGTTTTTTTGAGACAAAGTCCCAATATGTAGTCCAGGCTGGCCTTGAACTCACTACACAGCCCAGGCTGGCCTTGAACTCATGGCAATCCTCCTGCCTCAGGCTTCTGAGTGCTGGGGTTATAAGTATACTGAGTGTAGGGATATGAAAATTTGTATCATTTTGGTACATTCTGCTTTTATACCAATTTATAGTACAGATTTTTTTGATAAATCAAAATAGCTTCATCTTTATGAGTTTTTTTGGCTCCTATCTGTGACATATTTTCTTTTCTGGATTTCTTTCAGATTCTTGTCTTTTACTTTTTGCGATGTCTTCTGGCTTTTGTGAGCTGTATTTGTGAACTTTACTTTTACAAGTGAGTATAAAAACTTTGGTTCTAAAAGTGCTAGAAAGAAACCAAATATACCATAGGTCATCTCTCTGATAGAGTAGGCAATTAGAAATAGAAAATACTTTCCTTCTAGCTCCAGATATTATATCTGAAATGCAACTTCTTGTTTGAAAAATAATCAAAGAGGAATTCTTCTAATTATTTACTTTCTTGAGGTTCATAAATACCATATCATTAATTTTAATTCTGTTAATACATGTGTAACTGATCTTTACTTAGTGGGATTTAGTAGAAGCTTATTTTTGAGCCTAAGATACAGGATCATGATTTACTTCTACCTTAAAGTTTAGCTGATGGGAAACTATTCCCAAATGAGACTCTCTGTTCCTATTTGCTTCTAATACATTGTACTTCACAAAAGAGCTTTAAGTTTTTGAAACAGAGTCTTGTCTTGCTGTGTAGTTGAGGCTGGCCTTGAACTCACTATGTAGCCCAAGTTGGCTTCAAACTCTCGGTGATCCTGGCCTCAGTCTCCTGAGTGCTGGGATTATAGGCATGTGGTACCATGCGTAACTCTAATTGGTTGAATATTAATGGAATTATTAGCATTTAAGTGGTCTAATAATAAAAATTGCTATCTTTTTAATATGATACCTAACAAACATATTAATAATGCCTTAATGCAATAAAAGGTTTTTAGACTTAGTGATCATTATTAAAAATCTGGCAACCACTATTGTGCAACTCAGTGCCAGATACTCTCCTAAGCACTTTTCCGTGCATTATCTTCACAGAAATTTCTTCAAGTGCCTATAATTTATTATTCAGATGAGGAATCTGGCAAATTATGTGACTAGACCAGGATCCCACTGCTAATAAGTATCAGAGTCAGAATTTGAACCTTTACCCATGTGCATCTGAGGCCTATTATTTTTTACTACATTCTATTGATAGTAGACATAATCTTACCATGTAAAGCATATATTTCCTCTTAGGTAGGAGCTTCTCTCTTGTGTCAGGGATAAAGATTTTTCGGTTTTTTATACATATAAAGTTGCTAACAAATCTATTAAGACAGTTCTGGATCTGTATTTGACTTTAGATCTTAAGTGTTATTTCCTTTGCAGGCATTTTTTTCTCCTTTGATTTGATTTGTCCATTTCTAATGTCTGCTCTGCTAATTCTGCTTTTTCCTAGGGCTGTGTGTAAGAAGTTTGGTCTGCATGTGAGTCGAATGATGTTATCTTTCTTGGTGCTCAGCACTGGCATGTTTTGTTCATCATCTGGTGAGTAGAAGGGCAAGTGGAGAGAGTAGCAGATTCACCCTTGGTTCACAGTTGTATTGAAGGGAAACACTTGTCCAGGCATCTACAGTATTTGTTTGTATAATGTCAGTAATTTGCAGATCAGTGCTATCTACATTTTCATGATTGATCTTTACAATAATTATATGGTATAAGAAAAATAGTTTCTTATGTTTGTAGGTGAGAACACTGAAACTTACAAAGGTGAAATAACTTATTAAAAGTCAAATTCATAGTTGGTAGAATGGATAGGTGCTTTCTTTTACATCCTTGAGTCAACTACCCATTTCCCTTTTTTGGCATTAGGAGAAAGAACATAATTTTGTTTAAGGAAGCTCTTTGTGTCAAAAATACTGTTCTTGACAAATCTGTTTCACGTACATTATTTGATTTGTATTTTGTGGAGGTGTGCGTGTTCTGTTGAGCATTTTTTAGAGTAAGCTTCTTAAAATTTAGAATACCTAGTTCATGGCTTTCAAACTGTGCTGTAATGGAATATTTATGTTTTGTGGACTGAGCCAGGGTAGATTGCTGGAAAGGTAGGTGGTTCCCAACTCTCCAGAAAAATTATTGGATATATTTTTCTTAATTGTAGTTTTTGCTTGTGTGTTCCAAAATCCAATATACTGTTTATAAAGAATATATACTAAAATAGTAGTTGGCACAGAATTATATGTTTATTTTCCCTTTATTGAATATACCAAAATTAATGCTCTGGTAAGAGGACAGGGCTCTTGCCTGGAATAACTGAGATCCACTGCCCTAAAGGTGTCTGTGCTTTATCCTTAGAGCTGGCAGGAACTTCACATACCATTGTTTTTTTATCCTCTGCATTGGAACCTGGAATTGACAGCTTTGGTTGGCATTAATATTTAGTGCACTGGTGGCAAATCTGTGTGGCACACTTGTCACAGCTGGTTGTTTGTAACCATTGAAAGCTCTAAAAGGTTCACCATTACTGATTTAACATCTACAGTGGTACCTCAGTTCACAAACTTAATTTGTTATACAGTTTTGGAAAAAGTGGCCATGTTTGTGTTTGTGTGGGGAAGGATGACCATGGTTGTGTTTGTTGTCACTCAATGCAGAGTTTGCAAACAAAAACAAAATTTTGCCAAAGCTTATGTTTGCAAACCATACAAAAGCATTGTGCACCAAGGTATCACTGCATCCATAAAGAAGTTCCCAGGCGTATCTTTAGCTTTATCCTGTTAGTTGAAGGCATGTGCCTCTGAACTCTTTGCTATGTGGTAAATCTCACTGCCTATTCATTATCATTCTCCTTTTTTTTTTTTTTTTGTTGCGGTACTGGAGATTGAACTCAGGACCTTGCTCTTGCAAGGCAGGTGTGGTGCCACTGAACTAAATCCCATTATCATTCTCTAGAAGTTGACTGATTTTTTTCTCACTGGTGCTAAAGGAATCAGGTCTCTGCAGCAAGAGAAGCAGATCTGTGTTTTTCTTCCAAATTATTTGAAATACTTTGATTGTTGGTGTTGCAAAGACTGAATTTGCTCAGTCTTCTGTTGTACAGTAAATAATTAGGGGCCATCTAGAGGCCAGATAATCTGTGTCAGTGCATGCAGAGTGCAAATTGGTACTGCTTTTCAACATCTGGCCCTTGAGAAGGTTTCTTAGAATTCCTATACGGTACCTATTAAGATGGAGACAGTCTCAGAAAACCATCAGAATTTTAGAAATAAATTGTCAGCAGTGATTCTAAGTCTTTTAAAGCATATTTTCTGTTTGAGTGCCCAACCTTGGGGTATTCTTGGGCAAACTGGAATTTTAAAAAGTTTTGAATTTGAGGTATAGACCAGGAGAAGAATGGGATAGTTAGTATTGTAAAGCCAAGGGCACGTGCTGGTACTTAAAAAACAAGAGTGAGAAAATAAGAAAATCACTGAAGTTATTATTATTATTTTTTTTAAAGGAGTATCCCTTTACTGCCTATTTCTTTTCTTTTCTTTTCTTTTTTTGGTACCAGGGATTGAACTCAGGTCCTTGCTAAATCCACCAAGCTAAATCCCCAGCCCCTTTACTGCCCATTTTTAATATAGCAATGTCCAAAATAAATGACTGGCTATTTACATTTGTAATGTAGGTTAGTTTCTAATAATTGATACCTAATCTGAATATCTTGTCCTTCCCTCTTTTAATTTTTAATTTTTCTTTTTTACTCTTGCAGCTTTTCTTCCTAGTAGCTTTTGTATGTACACTACATTGATAGCCATGACTGGCTGGTATATGGACAAGACTCCCATTGCTGTGCTGGGCGTAGCAGCTGGGGCTATCTTAGGCTGGCCATTCAGTGCAGCTCTTGGGTAAGAAACAAACATAGTTCCTCTCCTATATATCACTAGGCATATGGCAAATATTAATATTGGAATAGATTCATATTGCCAGGTAGCATCAAAGTTATAAGAATTAATTGGACAGACAAAGATTCTGGAAAAGGAAAGCATATTTTTCTGAGTGTTTATTATTATGATTAATTCTAATAATAGTGACTATTAATCTTCTGTATCTGAGAAACTGCTAAACCCTTTGTAAATGTTACTCCTAATCCTTGTAAGAACCTGTAACAGAATTATAGTCGTTAAGGCTTTATAAATGAGAAAGTAAACTAAGAGTTTGAGTGATTTGTCTTTAAAATTATGCTTGCTTTGATTCCAGTCCTTTCTAACTCACAGTTGTTGTTTTCCCCACACTCCTCCACCGTGTGCTATGAATTTTCCCAGTCCCCTAGGCTTGAAATCCGAGTTTGCTTCAGTCTTTCTCTTTTCTTGCCCCATGTCTTTTTATTCAAAGTTCAGTTGTGACTGTCATTTCTTTTGCACCCTTGTTTCCACTGCTTATGTACTAATTTGTGCTTAATGTCTTAGTTTTTTTTGGTACTGGGGATCAAACTCAAGACCTTGCGCTTGTGAGGCAGGTGCAGTGCCGTTGAGCTAAATCCCTCGCCCTGTGCTTAATTTTTTTTTTTTTTTTTTTTTTGAGACAGGGTCTCACTGTAATTGAGACTGACCTGGAACTCACTATGTATCCCAGGCTGGTCTTGAACTCACAGCGATCCTCCTGCCTCAGCCTCCCGAGTGCTGGGATTACAGGTGTGTGCCACAACACCTGGCTGTGCTTATCTTTTTGACTAGTGCTTGACTTGTACTAGTAATTTTTTATTTTGGGTACCAGGGATTGAACTCAGGACTTTGCAACTGTGAGGCAGGCATTGCTCCACTACATTAAATCCTTGGCCCTATTGACTAGTAATTTTAAAATATTTTAGTTTGATACTAAGCTTATTGTAGAGGTATTATTTCTTTATTATAAAAAAAAGTATTAAGGGATAGGAGTGTAGCTTAGTGGTAGAGTACTTGCCTAGTAGGCACAAGGCCCTGAATATCATCTGCAGTACCACAACAAACAAGTACCAGATTTTGCAAGATTAAAATAATTCTTTGAAGAACATACAGCTTAGTGGTAGAGTGCTTACTTGGGTTCCATTCCTAACATGGCAAAAGCAAAAACAACTAATTTTGGATTGTTTGTTTATTTTGGTAATACTGGGGATTGAATCCAGGGCCTTCACATTGAGCTACATCTCCAGTTCTTTGTATTTTTTATTTTGAGGCAGGGTCTTACTAAATCACTTAAGTTGCCCCAACTTCTCTTGAATTTAAGATCTTCCTGCCTTATCCTCCCAGAGTGCTAAGATTACAGATGTGCACCACATGCAAGCCTAATTTTCTTCTCCTCTAGCCCAATCCTCAAAGTTAGTCACTACTAAAAATATTGTATATATCATCCCAGAAATTATCCTCATGTGCATTTTATACATGCATACATATACATATCCATACCTATGTATTCTTAAAACAAATAGAATTATTCTGTAGATGTTTTTCTTCTCTTGTACATAGACTATATCATTCTCTATATCCAGTTGTAGAGCATTCCATTATATGTGGACCACAATTTATTTAAGGATTACCTTATTGGTAGACATTTGGTTTTTAGTTTTTTGCTTTTACACAATGCTTCAGTGAACACTATTGTACAGATATCATTGCATAGTTTTTTTGCATACTTTCTTATGGGTTAAAGTTTTACAAAGGGAATTATGTCAGAATAGAGAGGATAGGCCATTTTAAATTTTAATTGCTTTTTCTTTTTGATAACTGCAGCTTGAACTTGGGACCTTGTGCTTGCGAAGCAGGCGGCAGCATCACTGTGCTAAATCCCTGGCACGTTAATTGACTTTTCAAGTCTGGATTCCCCATGTCTAATCCTTTCTTCTATTACACCTTCCATCTTCAAATTATTATGTTCCTCACGATTTTATCTTAGGCTGTTTTCTGTACTTCTGCTGTTTTCAATCACCTTTATAATTCTTGTATCAATAAATGCAAAATACTTTTTTTCCATACTGGGAATTAAACCCAGCGAGTACTAAGTTATAGCTCTAATCCTTTTTATTTTTAAATTTTGAGACAGGATCTTGCTAAGTTTCCAAGTCTGGCCTTAGACTTGGTGTCCTTTTGCCTCAGCCTCCCGTGTAGCTGGAATTACAGACATATGGTACCATGCCTGATTTGTAAAATACTTCTAAAACCAAAGAAAACTTTATTTATTTATTAATTTATTTAGTTTGGTACCAGGAACTCTGGTTCTTGCACTGCAAGGCAGGCAGTGGAACCACTGAGCTAAATACCCGGCCCCCTTTTTGTTTTTTGAAGCAGGATCTTGCTTTGTAGTGTAGGCTAGCCTTGAACTCACTGTGTAGCCAGGCTGGCCTTTAACTCACAGAGAGCCTCCTGCCTCAGAGGATCACCTGACACGTGCCACCACACTCAGTTGAAAGCTTTATGCTTGTCAGTGAAATTTTTTACCTCACTGAATTCTTACTGCCCATTAGCTATGTCCTTGAGTTCATTGTCTTCCCCCACATCTGTTTCTTTACCTGTGTTTCTATCCCAGTAAATGGCTACTGCTGTCTACTCAATACTGAACTGGAAACCTGAAAAAATTATGTGGCTCTTTTTTTCTTTTACAGATCCTATTAATTTATTGTATCTTCTAAATGTCTTCTTAATCTGTGTTTCTTCATCTTTTATCTGTTCCTGGATTACTATATAGCCTTCTAAGTGATCTTCACATCTCCAGCCTAATCCCTGTAAATCTACTCTCCACACTCTAGAGTTCTGTTCCTAAAATGCAGCTGTAATCATATAATTTTCCTGCTTTAACCTGTAATAGCTTCTCATTGCCTTGTGTCATAAGGGTTCACAAACTTGCCAGTGGACTCAGTCCAGCTGGCCTGTTTTTCTTTTTACAACCTGAGAATAATTTTTACATTTTAAAAAGTTTATTGAAAAACAATACACATATACAGAAGAATATTTAACACAGGCCATGTGTGGCCTGCCAAGCCTAACATAAATAATGTTAAGTCCTTTAAATAAAAAGTTTGTCCTGTGATATCCAAATCCTAGGCTTACTCCAAAGCTCTGTGTAATATTCCCAACTTTTACCTCTTCTGCCCCTTTTTCTCAGTTTCTCCATTCTTTTCATTCTCTGATTCATCTGCATTCACCGTAACATGTTGAGTTCCACAAATACCTATGTGTGGCACATTTTGATTCCTTTGCCTATTAATTATTTATTAAATACTTTGTTCTAGGCATTGCTTATATTATATTAATTAGACAGTCATACTTCTTCCTTTTTTGGAGCTTACGTTTTGATAGAAAAGATAAACATTGAACAAATAATTAGAAGTATGAAAACTTAGACAAAGGAGGGCAAGGCAGGGGTATCTCAAGTTCAATCCTGGCCTGGGCAACTTAGTGAGACCTTGTCTCAAAATGTAAAACAAAACACCAAAAAAAAGGGCTTGTGTTATAGCTCAGTGTGAAGGACATGGGTTCAATCCTTGCCCTGGAACCCCCCCAACCCCCCTCCCCAGTAATCAGAGATGAAATATAGATGCAGTGGAAATGTAAGTTGGGAGAAAAATAAAACACAAAATGTCCGTGTAAAATTTACATAGAATAGAATGGAATGTGGACGTTCAAATCCTAGGGAGATAATCTTAGCACATGACATAATCAAATAAATGACAAGGTGATAATACATACAAATTCAGAGATAGGAGGAATCTATAGAGATTTCATGGGAGTGACAAGAATAGGCCCTGCAGTTGACATTTGGGTAGATTCTGGGTAGATTTGTTGGTGTAGAGAAAGAATTCTTTGTGACTAAGCATGGATAGAGGCCCACTAGTCTTAGATTTGTGGAAATTGTGGGTGGAAGGTGATTGTTCATACAACAGTGGAAGTGCCTACTGAGATAATGAGTGTAGTTGCTTTGGAAAGATATTGTGGTGAAGCAGTAGAGAAAAAATAAAAATAGTATAGAAGGGGAGTAACTGGAAAGATCAGGAGCCCATGGTATTTAAAGATGGTGGAACAGAAGTTTTGTGTCTAGTGAAGCAGAATTACAAAGGAAAACGAACCCTGTGAAGAGACATTGGTTCTTGCCGTGAGGAGATTCCATTTTACCTTAAATCAGCTTTATTCACTTAAGCTAAGTCTTTTTTTTTTTTTTGGTACTGGGGATTGAACTCATGACCTTGACCTTGCACTTGCAAGGCAGGTGCGGTGCCACTGTGCTAAATCACCAGCCCCTCTTAAGCTACATCTTGAAGGAGAAATAGTTAAGTGAGGGGAACACATATATGCCACTTGCTTGAGGAATGTAGGTGAAAGGAAGAGTAATAAATGGCACTGGAAGGGGATAGGTCAGAATTGACGTCAGAGTTTGTAATATATTACTGAAATCCTTGTGAATCTTGGAAAAGAGAGATCAGTATGTATTTGACATGGTAGTATAGGATAATAGGGCACATTTATTTATAGTTAACATATTTTAAATGTCCATTACATAAACATATGTATAAAATAAAGTTTGTTCTAACAGCTCTGTATTTACATTTCTTGTGTACATGTAGGTTGCATAGCTTTCTGATGGGTCCTATGTTAAGACTTTTAAGACAACATCCTCTTATATACTGGCTTTCTTACCTCTCATATATGGGCTTTCTTTTCTTGTCACAGGTAGAGATATTTTTACTATCAGCATAGGAAAGGGATATGTGAATCTGACTTGTTTCTAAATATTTTACTTACCTCTCCACTTTTTGTTTTTCTGTTAAATAGCTTACCCATTGCCTTTGATTTGCTGGTCATGAAACATAGGTGGAAGAGTTTCTTTCATTGGTCACTGGTGGCTCTAATTCTCTTTCTGGTGAGTTTTCTTCCTGTTTTTTGTTCTCACATTATAATGAAAGCCTCTTCTGAGGTGCAAAAACGAAACATTAGGAATTCATTTTGTTTTTCATTCTCAGGTGTATCATCAACATTTTGATAATGTTTCAAGAGAAAAACTTTGAAATAGCTGTGTGTTTTCTACTCTGTTTTAGGTGCCTGTAGTGGTCATTGACAGCTACTATTATGGGAAGATGGTAATTGCACCACTCAACATTCTTTTATATAATGTCTTCACTTCTCATGGACCTGATCTTTATGGTAAGGCTTTACAGATTTTGGGAAGAGTTAGAAATGAACTCAATTTACCCAAGCTTCAAAATTTTAATTTGGTTATCCCATTTTATTACATATAGTATTTCTTTGCTGATGATTTTATTTTCCTACTTAAAAATAGATATTTAAATATAGCACAATGATGGACATGTAGTTACTTGAATAGTTCTTTTTTTTTTTTTTTTTTTTTTTTTTTTTGAGACATCACTATGTAATGTAGTTCAGACTGCCCTGGAACTCACTTTGTAGCCCAGGTTGGTCTTGAATTCACAGTGATCCTTCTGCCTCCATCTCCTGAGTTCTGGGATTACAGGTGTGTGCCCCCACACCCAGCTTGAATAGTTCTTCTTGATTAATGTGACACTCAGATGCTGGCTCTGTGTTTGTCCTGCTATTTGTTATTATCAGTGTCAAAGTTGGAGTTGAATATCTATGCCATGGGTTTTGATGCTATTCTTTTTTTTTTCTTCTTCTTCTTAATTAAGTTTCCTCTTGGGCTGTGGATTTAGCTCAGAGTTTCCAGCACCTGCCTCACAAGCCCAAGGACCTGAGTTTGATCCCTGGTACCAAAAAAAAAGTTTCTTCTTATTAGAAAATTAATATGATAACAAATAGAAAATAAAAACATAAGTCCATCAGTCCATCATTTCCATGTAGCTGTTGTTGACTCTTGGTAATGTATTTCTCCACCTTTTTTTTTTTTTTTTTTTTTGGTACGGGTGCTGGAATTCAGGACCTTGTGCTTGTGAGGCAGGCAGTGGAACCACTGAGCTAAATCCCCAGCCCTCTCCAAATGTTTTCTGTACGTTGAAATACTTGATGTTTCTTTTCTTCTCCTCTTCTCCTCCCCACTCCTATCTCTCTCCCTTTTTCTCCTCCTCCTTTATTTCCTTCTGGTACTGAGGATGAACCCAGAGGTACTCTACCTCTGAGCTACATCCCTAGTCCTTTACTTATTTTTCTTTTCTTTTTTTAATTTTGAGACAGGATCTTGCTAAGTTGTTCAGATTGGCCTCAATCGTGTAGCCCTCCTGCATCAGTCTCCCAAATAGCTGGGATTGTAGGTGTGTGCCACTATACCTGGCACTTTTTATTTTATTTTTAAATTTGCATTACTTCATTATCAGGTATTGGGGAGAAAGTTTGAAAAGTCTATAGACAAAGTAGCAAATAGAGTTGGGGGTCAACAAGAGAAAGTAGTTAGTTTGGACAGCTTAGGGTTAAGAGAAAACAATAGAATGCCTTTTGTCTGTAATGCATTCTGCATTGTACCCCATTTGCCTTTCACTCCACTGGTCCAGTCATTGATTCAGTTTTATTTGACTCCTGAGGGCATTTGAGTTACTTGTGGTTACAGAGGGATGTTAGAAATCTAGATAGGTTCTGATATTAGATCCAGTCAGTAAACATTTTATGAATAGTGTTTTTTCATTAAAATGGGCCGGGGATGTAGCTCAGCGGTGCAGCATCTGCCCGGCAAGCGCGAGGCCCTGGGTTCGATTCCCGGTACCAAAAAAGAAGTGGAAAAAAAAAAAAGACCAAAATAGGCACAATTCTTCTTTAATCTTTTTTTTCCTGGAACTGGGGATCAAACTCAGGACCTTGCACTTGCCAGGTCTGCTTTTAATCTTTTAAGGAGTTTTTTCTTTTCTTTTTTTTTAAGACAGGGTCCTGCTATATAGTTGAGGGTGGTCTTAAACTCACTATATAGCTCAGGCTGGCCTCAAGCTCACAGCAGTCCTCCTGCCTCTGCCTCCCTAGTGCTGGGGTTACAGGCACACACCACCATGCCTGGCAATTGAGGATCTTTAGAGCATCCTGTATACGCACATGTCTTGGCACTGGTATGAAGCAGGTCAATATTATTCTCTATCTCTTATAAATTTATGTTGGTAGCCATGTCCATCATTTACCTGAGCCATATTGCCAATAGAATCAATAGATTGATGAGGAGCTTTAAAGATTCCAAGAATTTGGGGAATATTGTCATTTTAGATGGCAGATAATAGGTTAAAATAAGCAGTGCTTTGGTGAATTGACTTTTCAAACTAGATACTTAGATAAAAATTGCTAAATGATTTGAAGTTAAGAGGCTTCTTTATGCTTCCAAGATTCTCAAGAAAGAGAAAAGGCCCCAGTTTTAAGCTTTTACCTCTAGATGTCTCCCTTCAGCTAGGGAAAGTTTGCAGTTTTAAATTGTCGCTTATTTTAATTTACTCAAAATTTTATTAGACTCTAGAAGACCATTAAAGATTTTAAACCAGGTGTGATGGTGCGTATCTGCAATCCCATTACTTTGGGAGGCTGAGGCAAGATGATTGCAAGTTGTAGCCCAGGTGCCTCATTTCTCTGAGCACTTGCACTTTGTTCTTCTTCTTTTTTTTTGGTACCAGGGATTGAATTTAGGAACCTTGCATTTGTGAGGCAGGTGCAGTGCCACTGAGCTAAGTCCCTGGCCAAAAGTGGGATAATTTTTTTTTTTTTTTTGACTTTGGGCTTGAGAGGCAGGCAGCAGAACCATTGAGCTAAATCCCTGGCCTTGCACTTTGTTCTTGAGTGTGACCTATATCAACGTCTAATAAATCCTTTTCATGTCTCTTAAAAAAAAAAAAAAAGAAAAAAAGAAAGTTGTAGCCCATTCTGGGCAATATAATGACTTAGTGAGAACCTATTTCAAAATAAAAAAGGACTGGGATGTAGCCCAGTGCCAAATGCCTGGATTCAATTTCTAGTACCAGGAAATAAAAGACTTTAAATCCAGATTGCACAGTAAAAGTTGATTTACATGTGTCCTGTTGGAACATAACCATTCTGTATAGATGAATAAATGGAGGTAATGTGTTAATTTTGAAAAATTGGCTTCTTCATTTTCATAAATAGGTTACTATATACTGATATTTTTACTACATATTTATAAAACCTTTTGTGAGAATATGTGAAAATAACTTTTTTTATAGCTTTCTAGATTGATGAAGCTTATAAAGCTAGAAATACTTAGGCTGGTAAACAAAGCAAAGAAGAAAGTAATTGAAATTTAAATTTATGTTTCTAGTTTAACATTGGGTTGATCAGAGATCCCGTGGTCAATTTTGGGACCAGTAGAGTTCATTCTTTCACTGGACATTGACATTTGCTGTTCATTTCACCCAGTGTTTTACTGGGAAAGAGTCTTTGGGACTTTTTCCTGTCAACTTTAATTAACTGGAATTGTTTTAGTTCAGATTTTGCTATTTTGAATGTGGAGAAGAATCTGTCACTTTCCTAGTGGTGGCAAAAAATTTTGTAGGGACAGTTAGAATTGTCATACTGCCCAGAGGACTGATGTAATGTTGAAGTGAGCCAGCGTTAAGGAAGTTGTTCCTTCATAGTACACTTCTTGTGCTTTTACCTCATCTTTGAATTTGATAAATTTAGGGGAGTTCCATTCTTTTACTTTCTTTTTTTGTACTGGGGATCAAACTCTAGACCTTGTACTTGTGAAGCAGGAGATGGCACCACTGAGCTAAATCCCTAGTCCCTCCATTCTTTTAAAGAGTATTAATTCCTTTATGCTTTAGCAGGCCTGTAGAGAGAATATTTTGTCTATCTTGGGAGAAGGAATTTTTTTTGGTACCAGGGTTCGAATTTAGGACCTTGCACTTGCAAGGCAGATGCGGTGCCCCTGAGCTAGATCTCTGGCCCAGGAATTTCTTGTATATTTTAGGTTTACTATAAAGGTTTGTCAAGAATAAGTGAATTCTGTAATATCCATCAGGTTATATTAGTATTTTGATTACTATTATATTTTATAACTGCTTTGGTTAGATCTGTTCTGATGCTGGCTTGGAGTTTTTTCTTTTTTTAAAATTAATTTTATTGGTACTTTTAAGGTATACAATATAATGACATTATTGTTGAAAATTTGGAGTTTCCTTGATACCAAGTGAGAGTAATAGATGTAAAATACTTTTTAAAAAATTTTTTTTGGCACTGGCGATCAAACTCAGAACCTTGCACTTGAGGCAGGAGCAGTGCCACTGAGCTAAATCCCCAGCGTAAAATACTTTTTTAAAGAAGTGCTTTATGATTGTCAGTTCATTCAGTAAATATAAAAGATTGATTTTTTTGGGGGGGTACCAGAGATTGAACTTGGGACTTTGTGCTTGCAAGGCAGGCAGCAGCACCACTGAGCTAAATCCCTGGCCCAAAGATTGATCTTTTAAAGATGCTTTAATGATATAAGATTGTCAAACAGTATGTCTTTTGTCCTGAAAACTCCAGCTCTTTAATGTTACTTACATGATTGACACTACTTTGCATTATTTCAGCTGTTTTAGAAGAGTTCCTCTTGTCATGAACTTCATTAACTATGGTATGGTATGTTCATTAACTATGTATGGTAGACATACAGTTTATCTGTAAATTAAAAATGCATTCTGCTGATAGTTTTTATATACATCTTTTAAGTGCTGTTTCTAATGTATCAACATAACACACTTGTACACATTTTTAAATAAATGGATAGACTTTAGTTAAAGAAACATCAAATAAATTGCCTTTGAGCACTTGCTTTATGTTCACATAGGACATGGTGTCTCATAAGGCTCTAGACCCATAAATAATTATAGTATGGTGTATTGTCCTGCAGTGGGAAGATAGAGGATCATGGGGGCAAGTCCTTCTGGTGGTATCATGAAAGGTGTGATTTAAGGTCAGTTTGAAAGGAAGAGTAGGAGTTTGCTCAGTAGATGCTGAGGTAGAGGCATTTCAGACAAATGGCATGGGGATACCAAATTTAGGAACTGCTGAGAATAAAAATCAAATATTGAGTTCTTATTTATTTATTTATTTTGGTACCGGGGATTGAACTTGGGACCTTGCTTGAGTTCTATTTTAAAATAGTAGTATTTTTAGCTGGGCATGGTAGCGCACGCCTGTAATCCCAGCACTTCAGAGGCTGAGGCAGGAAGATCGCTGTGGGTTTGAGACCAGCCTTGGCTACATAGTGAGTTCCAGATCAGTCTCAACTACATAGTGAGACCCTGTCTCAAAAAAAACCAAAAAACAAAACAAAACAAAAAAATAGTAGTATTTTTAGCCAGGTATAGTAGCATATGCCTGTAATCCCAGCACTTCAGAGGCTGAGGCAGGAAGATCGCTGTGGGTTTGAGACCAGCCTTGGCTACATAGTGAGTTCCAGATCAGTCTCAACTACATAGTGAGACCCTGTCTCAAAAAAAACCAAAAAACAAAACAAAACAAAAAAATAGTAGTATTTTTAGCCAGGTATAGTAGCATATGCCTGTAATCCCAGCACTTCTGAAGATAGAGGTAGGAGGATCACCATGAGTTTGAGGCCAGTATGGGCTACATAGTGAGTTCAAGACCAGCCTAAATTAACAGCACGACCCTGTCTCAAAGAAACACCCCTGACCCCAGTATTTTTATAGCATTGGCTATTTTTTTTTTCTTTCCGGGATTAGGGATTGAACTCAGGACCTTGAGCTTGCAAGGCAGGTGTGGTACCACTGAGCTAAATCCCTGGCCCTGCATTGGCTGAATTTTTTAGGTAGAAACTCTTTAGGCACAAGCACGATGATTTTAGTCTCTCCATTGTGATTGTAATCATATAAATATGTATCTTTTCTATTTTTCTGGCTTGTGTTGTGTTTGTTTGAGATAAGGTCTTCTATGTAGTCCAGGCTGCCCTGGAACTCATGGTAATCTGCTTCAACTTCCCCCAGTGCTGGGTTTATAGGCATGCACCACTATGCCTGGCTATTCTGGTTTTTAAAGGGACTATTCTGTACTTTCTTGGGTATATAGCATATACTAATGACACAATGTAGGCCTGGCTAACTCCTTTCTTTTGAAGCCAAGGGAAAGAAAAGGAGTGCGTCACAGATATTGTTTTATCTTCTGTTTATTGAATGCCTATTACATATTATCAATTTTATGTATACTATCTTTTTAAAAAAATTCTGTGAACTAGGCATTATTTATCCTTATTCCCAGGTGAGTAAACTGAGGTTGATATGGGGAAAAAAATGATACCAAGTTCAATAACTGTCAGGAATGGGATAAAAGTCCACATTTTCTGATCTCCATGCCTGTGTTTTTACAATGAAAATCCTTAACAAAATCCTGTAATTTGGTTGTTGAGACTCAGGAGAATAAGCTGGCAAAAGTAAGTAGCATGAATTTGAGAATAATACCAGGTAAGATCCAACCCAGGGAGTGGGAGGTTATACCTTTAAAGGTCTGTGCATTTTGGCTTGAAGGGTGATCAGGAAGGCTTGGATGGCAGGGAGACATGCATAAAGGTAGGCTGCTAATCATTGCCCCTAACCCTTGTTGAAGAAAGAAGGAAAGAGTGGACAAAGTAAAGAATACTTAGCGTTTAGAAAATTTTGAGTAGTTAGAATAAGTTGCAATGTCATGGGCAAAACATCTTGGTGAGGTCAAGAAAGCGATTTGGTAACATTTCAAATTCTCAGATGTTGATGTTGACAGGTACTCTTACTGTGAGTGAGTAGTAGTTTCTGATGAGGAGTACATAAACCTGGAGAAGGTATGGGAGGTCACTTAAAGGAAACATTCAGCTGGGTGTAGTGGCACACTTCTATAATCCCAGCTCTCTAGGAAGCTAAGGCAGGAGGATCCAGAGTTTGAGACCAGCTTGGGCAATTCAGTAATTCAGCAACAATGTCTCAAAGCAAAAATAAAAAAAGCTGGGGATGTAACACAGTGGTAGAGCAGGACTGTAAAGAAAGGAAAAGGAACACTTTTCCTTCAAAATGAACAGTGGTTCTACTAAAGTATGCCACTTTTCAGTTTAGGGTAGGGTTTCATAGTATGTGTGTTTTTTCGACATCTGTCAGGTCACTGGATGGGAAGGTAAATGAACACCTTTTGTTAGAAAGCCTGTGGGTTTCCATTCTAGGAGCAGTAGAGGTTAAAGACCCAGTGGAGTCTTAGGAGGCCTGCTTAGAGTTGATTGCAAGCCAGAACTATTCTAGAGCCTTCACTCTTTTGTTAATCATTTCTGTAGAACCTTGTTGGCTTTTCCCTGTTGGTGGTGCAAATTTGACATTTACAAGGTTGACTTAACTATAATTTAGTTCCTACAGTTCTATAAAATTACAGGCCTGTAAAAAGGTTCCCCTTCATTCAATCTGTGGAACAGTAAACATCATTCTTTCTTCTTTTGGCCTCTTTCAAAGCTCCCTTTAGCTCATTTGAATGAAAGGGATTGAGGCACTTTCCATAAAGAAGGAGATTGGTGAGTCACTCCCTGCAGAGATCCTGCTGCCAGCTTGCTTTCACCTGACATCTTGTACCAATTCAGTGCTCAGCTTGTCATTCTGAAGTGATTCTTTTGCATTGTTCAGCTGTGATGCTTTCTTAGTATCAGCATTGAGTAACTCCCTGGAAAGGTAAAAGTGTATACCCTTTTCTTTTGTAAGGTAGATGTCTCATCAAATAGAGGAGTACATTAGCTAACAGAATTCTTTCTTTTTGTCCTTTTTTGTCCTTGCTTTTAAGAATACTGTCACTCAAACTTTCTTCACTCTTGGCTTATCCCCCAGTTTTCTTCAGGGAAGTAACAGTGTATTATGAAATGTTCACAGCCTACTTGAGACAATAATTTAAGAACTCCTAAAACAGATAGTTGAGTTTACCAACTTTAGTACTTTTGATTCTGCATCTCAGAGTATAGGATATCTAGGGAAAGAGATAGCTCAAACAGGGAGGTTTAGTAATTTGTGAGACAAATATGTATTAGAAAGTAAGAGCTAAAAAGAACTAAAAACCATCTGTTTTGTAACTATCAAAAGAGACAGGAAGCTTTTATAAATTTTTTTTGTTTTTGTTGATGCTTAGCATCTGTAATACACCTCCTGTTTCTCTGCTCACCTGTGTGTCTTCTTTACAGGCTGAGATTTCCAGAATTTTCTTAAGAGATGGTGGTTCAGAGATTATGTGAAGCTTATCTCTCTGGAAGCTGGATCTTACAGGATCATTTTGGAAATTTCTTGTTAAATATTATTTATTTATTTATTTTGGTTTTTTGAGACAGAGTCTCACTATGTAGTTGAGACTGACCTGGAACTCACTATGTAGCCTAGGCTAGTCTCAAACTCACAGCGATCTATCTTCCTGCCTCAGCCTCCCGAGTGCTGGGATTACAGGCATGTGCCACCACGCCTGGCTTATTTCTTATTAAATATTAATTAAAATCCAGGAAGATGTTTCTGCTTTGTGAGTAAAACCATCCATTAGTTTTGTATAACCTGAATAGTTAAATATAAAGAATGCAAGATTGAAAATGTCCCTAATGAACTTGGCCTGGGAAAAGAACTCTGTTCCTGTATAGTCCCAGGCATTGTATTTAGAGAGGAAGAAATGAATTTTCCCAAAGGTGACACACAATTAAATTTAGACCATTCCTTAGTATACCCTCCTTCCCTCTTACCCATCTTCTAAGTGTTTCTAGCATTACAAGTTTAGTTTCTAATCTTATTTTGCTGTGCAAGCTGCAAAAATGTCAGGTTTTTCTGATTATTCCTCTGCCTCCTGATTACCCTTTTAAGCAATGCTGATTACAGGAAATTGCTGTGGTGCAAGGCGGGTGTCACAACACACAGTGATTAAAACCCGCATGTCATTCACTGCCTGATTGAAGTAATCATGCAGCGGGAAAAAGCAGATGATAAACTTTCTAAATGTGCAGAGGGGGGCTGGTTTTCATCATAGGGGTTAAGGATTTTGAGTTACAGCATCAAAACTAGTGTGAGGCTTATTTCAATCTTGTTTCATTTTGAATCTTCAGAAGTTCTAAGAAGGGACTGAATCTCTGAACATGGTCCTAAAAAAACCCAAGTTGTTGCTTTTTATAAAACACATGGTACCCTATGCATATGAGTAGTTGAGTGTATCAAGGTGCTAGAATGCAAATGGGGCAAATGAGTAGGGACAAAATGTGAGAGGCCAGGTTTCCTTTATCATTTTTTCTTTTGGTCTGCAGAATGTTGAAAGAGTAATTAAATCCGAATGGCTTTTTTGATTTTGTTCCACATGGTCCTATGTTCCTAAATTATTTAAATTATTTGGTTGTTCTATGAATGTACTAGTCCCATTTGTACGTGGCACTTTGGGGTAGATATAATAAATTTCTATCTTAGTATATGTTGCCATAACAAAATACCTGAGATAGGATAATTTGTAAAGAAAAGAAATTATTTTTCACAGTTCTGGAGACTGAGAATTCAAGATCAGGGCTCTAGTAGGTTAGATGTCTGATGAGGGATGGATCTCTGCTTCCAAGATGGTGCCTTGTATCTTCTGGAGGGGAAAGGTGCTGTGTCGTCACATGGTATAAAAGCAAAAGATAGAGGAAATTTTCTGTGGATTTAAAATATAGCTGAATGTTTAAAACTAACATCCATGACCAGTGCTTTTTCTTTGCCTCTGCTTTTGGGCTTCCTGTGTGTGCTGAGCGTGCCAATTGAGGAGGCTTGTGGACTGTCATTCACTTAAGGCATTGGATTGTCAAAATTATCTGAATTAAAAGTATCGTGAGTCAAATACTGTAATACATATTGAAAGGATCTACTAATGATTTCTTTGTCTCCCTCAGGCACAGAACCCTGGTATTTCTATTTAATTAATGGATTTCTGAATTTCAATGTTGCCTTTGCTTTGGCTCTTCTGGTCTTGCCACTGACTTCTCTTATGGAGTACCTGCTGCAGAGATTTCATGGTGAGAGGCATGAGAGATGGGAGAGTTTGAGGGAAGAGAGAACAAGTAACAAAGTATACTACTAAGTGAAAAAGAATTCTACTAACTTTATTTTCCATTTTCTTTCTATGGAAATTGTTGTTGAATTTTCAGTTCATATTTGTAGATTACTTGAGCCTACATGAAAATTTGGATATTTGTTTCAAATTAAGCTAGCAGGACAACCCTTCAAACAAGGAAATCAATGTAATTTACACAATCACCTGTGGAAGCAAAAGCTTTTATGAAATCTCAAGATAACAAATTTATTTGAGTCTTCGGTCTTATAAAAAAAACCATGTGAACCTGGTATAATTTTTTTGTTTTGCTTTGTTTCTGAGACAGGGTTTTTTTATGTAGTCCAGGCTGGCCTTAAACTCACTATGTGATCCAGGTTGGTCTCAAATTTATAACAATCTTCCTGCCCCAGCCTCTGGAGTGCTGGGATTACAGGTGTCTGCCACCACACCTTGCTAAAAATTTGAAAACTGGTACTGAAGTAAGAGAGGTTTTGGACTTCCTGTGCATCATGATGATTCTCTGGGTTCCATTTTGCTTCTGTATTTGCCTTTCTGTGTAAGGTTTGGTGTGTCATTTATTTTGCTTGCTCTGATTTTGTATTGTACAGCTGGTGTTTTCTCAAGTTGTCGTGGCTCCTGATATCTGGTTCCTACAGTTTCTTTTATGGAGCGGAAATTCATCTGAGCTTTGGAAAGATTTAATTTCAGAGTTTTCAGTCTGATTTGGCTACAATATGACTGATTTCTCCCCACCCTACCCCCATTTTATTTTTCTACTGTTTTTGAAGTATTCAATGTGTTACAGGGTTAGTGTATGAGAGCAGCCTTCAGAGTCACTTTTGTTTTAAAATAACCATATTGTCATTATTCCAGCAAAATTAATGTAATTCCTTAATATCATCTAATACCCAGTTGATATTGAGACTTCCTAGATTATCTAAAAAATAACTTTTCTTTTCTTTCTTGTTTTTTGGTGCTGGGGATTGAACTCAGGACCGTGTGCTTGCCAGGCAGGTGTTGTGCTGCTGAGCTAAAATTACTTTTTTTTTTTTTGGTACTGGAGATTGAAAAATTACTTTTTATAATCAGTTTGTTTAAAGCAAGAAGTCAACAAAGGTCACATAACTCAGTTTGGTGTAGGTTTCTTAAGTGTTTATGATTTTCCCCGTCTCACTTTTTTCTCCTAAAGATTTTTTTTTTTTAGTTTTTTGAGACAGAGCCTTACTATGTAGTCCTGGCTGGTCTTGAACTCACTATGTAGCCTCAGCTGGCCTCAAACTTGAGGTAATCCTCCTGCCTCAGCCTCTGAAGTGGTGGATTTATAGGGATGCGCCACCACACTCAGCTAAGATTTTTTTTTTAAAGGTCTCAGATCATTCATTTTGTATAGAGTCCCATATTTTATATGTAACTTGTTTGTTCCCTTACTTCTCTTGTATGCTTAAAGATCAACTCTTCCTTCTTTTGAAAAGTAATTTTTTTATATTGGCCATGGTGGTGCATGCCTATAATTCTAGCACTCAGGAGACTGAATAAGACGGGGATTTTTGTGCTTAAGGCCAGGCTGGGCTACATAGCTGAACCCTGTATCATACAAAATAGTAGTTCTATTTCTGACTATAAAAATAATTTATACTTGTGGAAAATTTGGAAATGCTTTTAATGTAAATAATATATTAAGCTATTCTTTATAGTATGAATCTAATTTTGATTGGTGTACCAGTGATTGAACTCAGGACCTTATGCTTACAAGGAGGTGGTGGCACCACTGAGCTAAATCCCTGGCCCTATGTGTATTTTATAATAGAACCACTACTTTAAAAAAAAAGTAGAAGCATAGAAAAATATAAACAATCAGGGAGGAAATTACTCATAATTCTATCACATATAGCTGTGGTTAGTAATTTTGTTTTATAGTACCAGTGATTGAACTCAGGACCTTATGCTTACAAGGAGGTGGTGGCACCACTGAGCTAAATCCCTGGCCCTATGTGTATTTTATAATAGAACCACTACTTTAAAAAAAAAGTAGAAGCATAGAAAAATATAAACAATCAGGGAGGAAATTACTCATAATTCTATCACATATAGCTGTGGTTAGTAATTTTGTTTTATATAGGACATTTCAAAATTCTAGATCTTATTTAAAAATTGCTTGTTAGCTTTTAAGATAAAAAAAAGAAACTTTATACTAAATAGATTTATTTTCTACAAGTAAAAAATTTCCAGTTTAATGTGTACTACCCGGAAAGACATACATCCTATTAACTTAAAATATCATAATACTAAAAAAAAAATCATAATACAATCTTAAGAGTAGAATGTTTATAAAATAAGCTTATTATTGCAGCCCAGTAATTTTTATCCTTAGAGAATTCTGTAGATATATAGATAACCTGCATAACTAATTTAGGCATTGCTGTGTTGGGTCTTGATGACATCTTAGTCTGTAATTTAAATTTGCTCACTGTAGACATAGTGGACACAGGGAGTGCTGTCTCCCTAGCATTTGCCAGAGTTTTGTATGCAAAGCTCTTTATCACTAATATAAACACAGTCAGAAGTACCTTCACTGTGGGTTGCAGATTTATCATTCAGTGCTCATGTACTAAACCACAGGAACTTTCCAGCAGGCGCTTGGGTCTTAATGTTCATTACGTTCCTTTAATTCTTTCACATGCTTTAAGTATATTTTAGTTTCAGCTTTGAGGTTGAGTGGATGGTTATTATAGGAGAAAAAATTTAGTAAACTTTAAGAGTTTTTCTTTCTTTCTTTCTTTTAAAGAGAAGGTCTCACTATGTAGTTCAGGCTGGCCTAACTCACTGTGGAGCCCAGGCTGCCTTCGAACTTGCAGTTATCCTCCCACCTCAGACTCCTGAGTGCTGGGATTACAGGTGTGTACCACCACGGCTGGCAAGAGTGTTTTGTTTTGTTTTTGGTACCAGGGATCCAACTAGGGACCTTCTGCTTGCAAGGCAGGCAGTGACAACGCTGAGCTAAATCCTCTGCCCTGGCAAGAGTGTTTTTATGTTTGCCTTAAAAAGGTATTTGTGGCTTGTTGAAAAGGGTTTGAGAATCCAACTATTTTTTCTTTCTTTTGATCTGAGCAGACCAGTTGGTATATAGACAAGAAGGTTAATGTATTAAGTAGAACACAGGATTTAAAACCCAAGAAATGGGTTTACATTATGCTTTTGGTTAATCTTTAGGTTTAGTGTCAGGACTTTAGAGGCAAGAAGGCTTCTTTTTTTTTCTTCACCCAGCATAGAATTTATAAAGTTATATTATGCATTAATTTGACCTTCATGTGTGTTCTGCCAGTATTGTGCCTCCCTTTAATTTTGGATCTTTTGAAAGAGCTAAGGAGTTTATTCCTCTTTCTACTTGACATCTTTATTACATTGGTAAAAGTCTGAATACACAAGTTGAAACATTTTATGGGGTGCTGTAGAGTGTACTCCCAAATTTGAGATCAAGAGAACATTGAAACTAAATATGCTGTTTTGTTCTAGTGTGATGAAAAATGGATATTTTTCTGTGTTTTGCAGTTCAGAATTTAGGCCACCCATATTGGCTTACCTTGGCTCCAATGTATGTTTGGTTTATAATTTTCTTCATCCAGCCTCACAAAGAAGAGAGATTTCTTTTCCCTGTATATCCACTAATATGTCTCTGTGGTGCTGTGGCTCTTTCTGCACTTCAGGTGAGTTTCAAGGAAAAAGTATATTTGTCTCATTTGGTTTCACTTATTAAATAACTGCTCAAAAAACTTAAAGGCAAATTGTTGCATATGTCCATCTGAGATACAACTTTACCCTCGATACAGATCATATTAGTAAAACTTTTTGCATTGATAAAACTGCTTATCCTACTCTTATTTGCTGACTGCATGCTTGCATTATTAATTTGTGTGATAATTTGTTTTTGTTGCCAAAAGAAGTCCAGTTGCCAATAAAGATACTTTTTTGGGGGGTTGGTACCAGGGATCCAACTCTGGACCTTGAACTTGAGAGTCAGGTAGCGGAACCACTGGGCTAAATGCCTGGCCCCTATAAAGATACATTTTTAAGTCACCACATGGGCCACCATGATGGTGGTACCTGGGTAAAGCTAACAATGTCTGCTCTGTAGCTACTAAATGAGATTAAAACTTTATAAGACTCTGGGATTATGTCAGGCAGCTAGCGACGAGGGACACTTTGTGGATTTATTTATTTGTTTCTTTGACAGAACTAATTTTACTTTTCTTTGAATATCTCTGTTGTTGTCGGTACTAAGTATTGAACTCAGGATCTTGGTGTTTGCCAGGCAGGCATGGTGTCACTGAGCTAAATCCTGGGCCCTGTTTTTTTTTTTTTGGTACTGGGGATTGAATTCAGGACCTTGTGCTTGTAAGGCAGGCGTAGCACCACTGAGCTACATTCCCAGCATGTAAGTTTTGTTCTTAACCGATTTATTGAGATGTAATTCATAAACTGTATAGTTCATCTATTTAAAGTGTGCAATTCAGTGGTTTTTAGCATATCTGCAGATATATGCAAGCATCACCACAGTCTGTCTTAGAACATGTTTAGCTCAAGAGACTTGTACCCTTTAGCTATTGATCTTCCTACCTTCTTTCCTATATCTCCCAGCTCTGAGTAACCAGTAGCCTACTTGCTATCTATGGATTTGCTTACTTAGGGCATTTCATTCATTGTATAAATGGATCATAAAATGTGTGGTCTTTTGTGACTGGCTTCTTTTATTTAGCATAATTTTTTCAAGGTTTATTTATGTTAGGGTAAAAGCTTTGGAAATAACTAATTATAAAAGTAATTGAACTTCAGATAAAACAAAAACAAATAGTAATTTTGCATATCAAATATCAAAGAAAATTATGATTATAATAAAAAACAACTGTCAAGGATTTAGCTCAGTGGCTAGTGATCCCTAGTATCAAAAACAAAACAAAACAAACAAAACAAAAATGTCTATATTCTTTTTTGGTACTAGGGATTGAACTCAGGACCTTGTGCTTACATTGTTTTTTATTTTATTTATTTATTTTGGTACCAGGGATCGAACCCAGGACTTTGTGCTTGCCAGGCAGGCATGGCACCACTGAACTAAATCCCTAGCCTGACTATATTCATTTAAAATTAATATTATATAATATTTTCTGTTCTGTATCTACATGATTTTATTTTATTTTTGGTACTAGGGATCAAAATCGGGTCCTTGTGCTTGTGAGGCAGGCGCTAGAACCACTAAGCTAAATCCCCAGCCCCAATATCTACATTATTTTAATAGAAATATAATGTTCTGATTTGGATATAATATATAGCAATTGGTTGTAATATGTATTGGCTTGGTTATAGCTAATATAAAGAGTAGATGTAATTTGTGTTAGAGTCTAGGTTATTTATTCATTTAGTATTGTAAAAACTACTAGAATAAATTTTTTCATTTAGATATTTGGATTGTGTCCTTACGACAGAGTCCCCCACTTTTGTTTTTTTTACAGTGCTGGGAATTGACCCCAGTGCCTTACCCATGCTAGGTAAGCACTTTACTGTTGAGCCACACTCTAAGCCTTTCTCCAAATATTAAAAGGGCTTGAATATATTTGTGATAGTTGTTTTATATTACAAAATTGATTTCCAAATGTAATTCCTGTCTAGAAGGGAAAGAGTTTAAGATTGAGAAAGTACTTAAAGGCAGCAGATGAGTTGGGAGTACATGTTAGAGTACATGCCTAACATGCGCAAGGCCTTGATTTCAATCTGCAACATTAAAAAATGTAAGTTCATGTATGTGTGTATATATTTTAGTAATCATCTAATTTCTAGTTTAGCAGATAATTAATAGCATGTTTCTACTTTTCTGTGAAAGGAATTATTTTTTTGTTTGTTTGTTTCTGAGACAGGATATATATCCCAAGAAATGTATCCCAGGCTGGCTTCCTTAGCTGATTGATTAGCTGAGTGCTGGGATCCAGGCATGTGCCACCATGCCCAGTTTAGGAATTCTTTTTTCTTGTTTGGTCATGACACATTTTGTGATTTTAAAAACTGAGGAAAACTTGTTAGCAAGGAGATAAATACTCATATCAATTATAACAGATGGAAATACTTCATATATCAAAGAAAACACCAAAAGGCATTTTTGCTTAAATATTTAAAAAATAAGTTATTAGGCCTTTAAGCACTATAAAAATACCCAGATTATTTTCCTGTGAAGCTAGTGAAAGTTCACTCCTTTCAAGCTCTCTGGTTGGGATGATCTTCAGATAGTGTTAGAGGAATTGGCTTTGATCTTAAAAGTTTGGAGCTGGTACCTCACTAGGTGTTTGCACTTGGTCAGACCTTCAATTAGCCCTCTTTTTCTGACTCTACACTATTGGTCTTTCTATGTTTTTTGATTGTATATATTCTGCAAGGTATCTTTTATCAATACAGTTTTCTTCTAGAAATGTTACCACTTTGTGTTTCAACGATACCGCCTGGAGCATTATACTGTGACATCGAATTGGCTGGCATTAGGAACAGTCTTCCTGTTTGGGCTCTTATCATTTTCTCGCTCTGTGGCACTGTTTAGAGGTAAATGTATTGAGGGTATCTTAACCCACATTCATGAGGCACTTTAGATTTTATTTGATGCAGGCTTGTTTAACAGTTTAGCTTATGCTAGGAAGAGGCCTCTCCTAAAGGGAGAGTATGTAGACTTATTTATGATGCAGTATGACTTTGGTACCTTAGGATCAAAAGAGGTAGAGAATTCCTTTTAGTGTGATTAACTATTTTTTCTTATCTATTTTTCCCCTTTTAATGGCTGCTGATGAATTAAGGAAACCTAAACTTAAGATGAAATTTTGGGGTTAAATTTTCATGGTTATATTTTTCTTCCATTCACTATTGGGATCCAGAATATAAGGTTAAACAGAAGAAAGAGTTTCTTTTCTCTTTCTTCAAGGGCAAGAAACCAAGTTATATTTGACAAAATAGGGTCTCTGCTGCAGTCAACTTTGTGACCAGAGATATATTTTATACCTGTGGAGCAGACTCCCTGCTGGAGTTGTTATGGCCCTTTACACTCTAAATTTCATGTGGATTATAATGCATTGTTAACATACATTTAAATTATATTCCAGAATCTCATTTTACTCATCTTTGACTTTTATTAACTATACTTTCTTCTAGGATATCATGGGCCCCTTGACTTGTATCCAGAATTTTACCGAATTGCTACAGATCCAACTATCCACACTGTCCCAGAAGGCAGACCTGTGAATGTCTGTGTGGGAAAAGAGTGGTATCGATTTCCCAGCAGCTTCCTTCTGCCTGATAAGTGAGTTGTCTTTTATTCCTAAAGTTTTAAATCAAAAATAAAAAAATAGCAATTTTATGGCAGGATCTTAATTTTTGTTTTGGATTTTTTAATAGAAAGTTACTGAATTATTTACCATCTTAGGTTACTGTGGAATCTGCCTTGTGTACCCTTGTGTTCATCGCACTGGGTGCTGTGTCTGGCTATGGATCCTGTTCAACCATAACTACAGGCTGAAAGTGCTTTGGGCTCTAAGTATCTGCTAATGACTATTTTTGAAGATATATATTTATAGATCTTTAGTTATTTGGTATTAATCCACTTCTAAAAGTGGTCTAGAAACTCTAGTTAAAATAGTTTTTTAGAAAAAAAATTTTTGGTATCAGGGCCAATGAATCTTGCTAAATTGTCCAGGTTGGCCCTGAGATCTTCCTGTCTCAGCCTCTTAAGCAGGTGGTATTATAGGTGTGTGCACCATACCTAGTTTAGAAAAGAATTTTTTCTTATCCAATGACAGTGAAAGTTCCCTGTCAATATATGGCAGTGGGGAAAGCTACCATTAAAACATCTGTCCAGCTTTCCTTTATGCTGTCTTTTTTGAGATTTGATAGCATATGTCCTGGAATTCCTTATATTTTTCTTAATTTGGCCTCTTTAGGTAAAAGGGAAGTCTGGTTAAATGAGTCATGTTGCTCTATTTAAGGAATAGCTTCAGCAGCTTAGCTTTACCTGGTAGTAGTATCTTGTGCTTAATAAAGATCGTGCATCAATCATTAATGATTAAATTAAAACTTGTTTTTTAAGTGTTGACTTTGGCCTTTGCCTTTTACATTTGAAATAGTTTCATAGCTGAAAATACTTTTGGGGGATTTAGCTCAGTGGTTCCACTGCCTGCCTTGCAAGTTCAAGGTCCTGAGTTTGATCCCCAGTACTTCCCCCCAAGAAAAAAAACTTTTAAGGATTACTCAGGAGAAAAGTACTATTCCCTTAATGTGTTCTTAGGGCTGTGTATTTTTTTTTTTTTTCTTTTGGTACTGTGGATCGAACTCAGACTTTAGTCTTGTGAGACAGGCTTGGTGCCACTGAGCTAAATCCCCAGCATTGTATATTAACATTTCATCTTGTTGAGTACACCTGATGTGGGTTGGGGATTTGACTCAGTGGTTCCACTGCCTGCCTCACAAGTGCAAGGGACTGAGTTTGATCCCCCATACCAAAAAAAAAAACAAAACACCTGATGAACTTGCTCTAATTTTGATAAGTCCCTTTGAACACATGATAATTGGTAATTGGCTTTGACACTTTCCTGGTTATTTGGTGATATGACTATTTGGTTGCAAGTTTCTCTGCTGAGACTTAGTGAAATAGGTTGAGAGATCTCTAGTCATAAATTTCGTAGTGCTTTTGGACTAAATTTCGACCTTTGCCTCTGTGCTCCCTGATTGAGGTTTTAGCAAAAATGTTGTTTTTTTTTTTAACTTCACAAGTGAAATGTTTTTCACATTTTTTTTTTTTTGGTTGGTTGGTTTCAAGCACATTTAGCAATATAATCCCCTGTGTTTTTCTTATCCTCTTTGTGTTTCTGACAGTTGGCAGCTTCAGTTCATTCCATCAGAGTTCAGAGGTCAGCTACCAAAACCTTTTGCAGAGGGACCACTAGCCACCCGGATTGTTCCTACTGACATGAATGACCAGAACCTAGAAGAGCCATCCAGATATGTAAGGGCTACATTTTATTCTTGCTCTTTGAAATGAATTCTACTCCTAAAATCTCTTGGCATATATATATTAGAGCATTGATAGGATGAGATTTTCTTTTTCGGTACTGGGGATTGAATCCATAGCCTTCACATTGAGCTGTATCTCTGCCCTATTTTATTTTTTACAGTACTGGGAATTGAACTCAGGGCTTTTGCGCTTAGTTACACCCCTGGACCTTTCTCTTTTTTCTTTGTTTTGAAAGGTGGGTAACGGATCGAACGCAAGACCTTAACGTTTGTGAGGCAAGCAATGGAACCACTGAGCTAAATCCCCAGCTCCTCTGGACCTTTCTTAATTTTTTATTTTGAGACAGTCTTGCTAAGTTGCCCAGCCTGAGCTTGAACTTGTAGTCCTCCTGCCTCAGCCTTTCAAAGCACTGAGATCACAGGAGTGTGCTACCACACCCATTTTAAAATGAAAAAAAAATAAAAATTTTTATTTGTTTGTTTATTTATTTATTTTTGAGACAGGGTCTCACTATGTAGTTGAGACTGACCTGGAACTCACTATGTAACCTAGGCTGGTCTCGAACTCACAGCAATCCTCCCGAGTGCTGGGATTACAGGAGTGAGCCACCACGCCTGGTTTATTTATTTATTTGGTTTGGGGATCAAACTGGATCCTTGGGCCTGTGAGGCAGGCATCAACATTGAGCTAAATTCCTGGCCCTAAAAAATTTTTAAAGTAAAGGGTGTAACAACTTTTGTTGAGAAAGGGTGAACAGTATCACTTTTATCTTCAAATTACCTTTCTTTATTTTCTATATAAAACATATAATTCAATACAACTTCTAAGCTTTTGGGTGAGCTAGAAATTTTCTTATGATACAATCTGAACTATCATTCTGAAACACATTTTGAAACTGTTATTATTCCTTGTCCTATTAAAGTATTGGTGGGAAGCTTTCAAGTTATCAGATTACCCTTGACCTAGCTATTACTATATTCTGGTTTTAGCACATGAGTAGTCAGGAAGACTATTTCCACAGTGAGTGTCATGAAGCAATCTCTGTCAGTGCCATGATCTTCTCCCCACTTGTCTACACACTGAGATCCCATGTGAATTTTATTTCAGTTCCTTTGAAAGTTGACACTTTTGACATTTGATACCTATAAAATCTTTGATGGTGAAAAAGCTGAGACCAATAAAAATAATTCTTTTCCTGGTTCACAGAGACAGTAAAAGATTGTTTTGTAGATGAAGAGCACATTTTTTGACAACCTATCTGTTAAAGAAATATTTACATGTTTAGGTTCTGTTATGTCATGCACTTAAAATATAAAATAGTGAGGCTTCCAGTTTTCTTCTGAAGCAAACCTGCAGCCACATCTGGCCTTTTGTCTTCCAGATTTGGGCTGGATAGACTTCCATTGAGACCTTCAGGGCTTGTGAATGGGAAATGTACACTGTAAAATATATCCTTGGCCAGGCTCCCTAAGAAAGTAAGATAAACATACTACCGTTTTTATAAAGGAAAGTTTTCATTCCTCTTATAAAGAAAATAACTCAGGGAGGGTGGGGATAAAAAATAAAGAAAATAACTCATAGGTGGAGTAAATGTTAGTGTTCTTTTTTTTTTTTTTTTTTTTGTACCGGGGATTGAACTCGGGTCCTTGTGCTTGCAAAGCAGGCAGCAGAACCACTGAGCAAAATCCCCGGTGTATTGTTCATTTTAATTTTATCTACAGACAGTCTCCTGAGAGCAGGCTGTGATATATAGGGGATGCCTGTGAGGACACTGGAAAGTCAAAAGGGTGAGCAGATAGGCCATGAGAGCTGGATAGTTTGAATTCAGAGGTGATTTTATCAGAAACTGTGCTTTAGGAAGAAGTATCATTGGGAGGACAGAAAAAGAGAGGTATTTTGGAGCCTATTAGGCCTGGTTCCAATCCCAGCTAGGTTGCTTACCTTTCTGACCTTAGACAAATTAGGTAGCTCTTTTTTTAACTAGTTCTAGTTTGTGTCTGTGAAATAGAAAATCTACTTTGGAATTACTTTGGGGTGTAATATTACTGTATATCTATCAGATTAAGCATATTTGGAATCTGATATATATATATTTTCCCAATGAATGTTCTTAATCTGATAAAGAAACCTTTTCTGCCCAGATCTTTCTCTTTCCATACTATTATTGTTTATCACTGCCTTTTCTGCTCCATTGCTTTTGCTTATGTTGGTGACTGTGCCTGCTATTTTTTTTTGTTGTTGTTCGTTTTATTTTGTTTTTTGTTTTTTGGTACTGGGGATCCAGCTTTGGTCCTTCCTTGCACTTGTGAGGCAGGTGGTGGAACCATTGAGCCAAATCCCCAGCCCAGCCCAGCCAACTATTTAATCTATTTTAAGCAGTCCGTTCTTTAAATGCCTTAAAAAAAGCCATATTGATATATATATAT